AAACTTTTTTTTTTTAAGCCAAGAAAGCTAAACACTTTAAATCAAAAGGAAGTTAGATCTGGAACTAGGGAAGCACATGCTATAGAAATGACTCCTCCCATCAGCAGAGACAAGTGGAAGACAAGAGGGTTTGTCTTGTAGATTAGTGATAATGGCCTTAAGTAATGGTCTGAATCTAGACAGGAGGAGGAGGGATTTCTGCTAATGTGGGTAGAAGAAAAAACTCGGCCCTGGCTGGTGTTTCTCAGTGGATAGAGCGACGGCCTGCAGACTGAAGGGTCCCGGGTTTGAGTCCAGTCAAGGGCACGTGCCCGGGTTGTGGGCTCCATCCCCAATGGGGGCCGTGCAGGAGGCAGCCGATCAATAATTCCCTCTCATCAATGTTTCTCTCTCCCTCTTGGAAACATATATATTTAAAAAAAGAAAAAACTTGGGCTGTCAAAGAAATAAGTAAACCTGAGTCAGGAATCTAATATTCAATTCACCTTCTTAAAATATGTAGTAAGTCTGTGCTGATCTAAGGACCTGAAATATAATAATTAAAAACAATCATATATTTTTAAATCTGTGGATACTTGGGAAAGTTTTGCTCCATTGTCTTAATTTAGATCCCAAGTATTTTTCCCCTCTAATTTAACAGTAAATCTTTTCTGAGTACCTATTAGGTGCCATGTACAATTTCTAGATTCTGGGAACATAGCAGTGAACAAAACAGACAAAAATTCCTGTTCTCAAAGAGGTTAACATTATATTCCAGCAGGCCTGGGTGTGCTTGCTGATGTAAAACAAGATAAAATATATAGTGTATTAGAATGGTGATGTGCTGTGGAGAAAAAGCAAGGGAGAGATACAGTGGTGGTTGAGGTATGATTTTGAATAATCGAGAGAACACCTAAAGGAGGTGGGGAGGCCTATGATGTTGATATCTGAGCAAGGAGTGAACCAAGTGGAGGGAACAGGGAGTTGAAGTTGGGGTGTGCCCAGCAAGGGGGAGCAGCAGTGAGAAGCCCCATAAGGGGTGTGGGATAGAGTGCAGATGAGAGGCAAAGCTGAGGGGAGATTGCAGAGGACACTGAAGGCGATCGGGAGCACGCTGCCTTGTGTGTTGAGGAGGGTAAAGCAGTGGAGCAGTTGAGCAAAGGGGTAACCTGACTTAAGGTTTGAGTGACTGACTGCTTTGCAGAGAAGAGAATGTGAAGTGGGATAAGGGGAAACCAGGGAAACAGTTTGGAGGTCATTGCAGCCGTCCAAGCTGGTGGCAGTAGAGTAGGGGTGTCAGGTTTAGCAAATAAAAGTATAGGCGACCCGTTTGGTAAAGTACATCTAACCACTGTGCTGTACACCTGAAACCAATACAAAATTATATTGAAAATTATAATTGAAAAATTAAAAAAATATAGGAACCTAGTTAAATTTGAATTTCAGGTAAACAATTATATATATTATACTAGTGGCCCAGTGCACGAATTCGTGCACATTGAAAGGAAAATAATTAGAATATTTTAATATCGCTATTTGCCCTTTATAATAGAAGTGTCAACCAAATGCATGATTGACAGTGACAGATGGAAACACATGTGCGATTGGCGACAGCAAGAGCTTTATATGTATCGCACATGCGCGAGTCAACTTAGCCTTTTATAGATATAGAACAAACTTGCTTAATTAGACCTGCTTTCTGATTTAGCTAAACTTTTTCCAGCCCAGTGAAGCACCCCAACTTCTCTTTTCGGTAATTGTCAGCAACACAGCAGTAAATATCAACACAAAGCAGATTATTATTGTAGATCACGCAGGGAGAACAAAGGGTGAAATATTTAACTGCAGCTGTGTTTGACTATATTCTGTGCAGTGAGACCTGAAGTCATTTTCAAGGTCCACCATTTCTTCTTTTCAGTCGGGTCAGGTTTCTAAGCTTTCTAAATCTCCGTTCTCCGGCTAATGAAAAGAAAATAGGTTTCTTCGGAGTCTCCTATCTACTTACTCCAGGACTTCTGTGAGGATCAAATGAGATGAGGCACGGGAAAACGCTTCACAGACATTTGGATAAAGTGTAAAATGTTTGCACCTGGCTATAAAGCAAGTGGTGTTCCTGGGCTGAAGAAACTCCAAGGAGGCTAGTCGCTAGGGAGAGGAAGCCGGGCGTTGCTATGTGACATCATTGCCCACATGGAGGGAAGGACACAGCATATTAGCCTTTTATATAGATACTTTCTAAATTAAAAAAATTTTTTTGTTAATCCTCACCCGAGGATAATTTTCCATTGCTTTTCAGAGTGTGGGAGGGAGGAAGCAGGTGGGAGAGAGAGAAACACATACAGATATATCGATTGGTTGCCTCCTAAGCAGGTATGTACCCTTGACTGGAATCAAACCCGAGACCCTTCAGTCCAAGGGCTGATGTGCTAACAGCCAAAGCACCTAGGGCTCTCTGCCCATTTTTAATCATTTGGCATTTGTTTTTTTGGTATTGATTTGTACACCCCCTGCTGGGGATCGAGCTGCAACCCAGGCATGTGCCCTTGACCAGAATCGAACTCGGGACCCTTCAGTCCACAGGCCAATGCTCTATCCACTGAGCCAAACTAGCTAGGGCTATATAAGTTCTTTATACATTTTGGATATTAAACTTTTATTAGATATGTGATTTACAAATATTTTCTCCCATTCTGTAGATTGCCTTTTATTTTGTAATGTCTCCTCTTTCATTTATAAATTTATTTGAGGATAAAGATACCTGTCTCACAAAATCATTAACCTTGTATCTTGCAATGTACCTAGCACTGCACCTGGCATATAGCCGGGCTGTGTAGATGTATCTTGCAATGTGTCTAGTGCTGTGCCTGGCACATACTTGATCCTGTGGTGTATACTTCACATTCTTGCAAAAGGAGTGGTTATAAACACCCAAATTCGTGTTTTCCTAGAAGAATAGGAAACTTCAATGTAACAGGTTTCTCTACAGAAGATTAAATTATATAAAAAGTATACTAAATGTCTATATTTGTTCAGAACTTGTTTTATTCAGATCTATGTTGGAACAGTATTTGATATTTGATCATATAAGTCTACCATATGTGTAGGAATCAATGGTAATATGTAATGATACATATAAATGTTCTGTGAGATCAGAGAGACAAAATTTAGAAATCGGGCTTGTTTCATGAAATCTGGCTATACGCCCATCACAAGGAACTGTGTGTCATATGCAGAGTATGGTATTGGCAGTGGCAGAGGAGGCAGCTGCTCAGGAGAGGTGTGGGAAGGCTTTTGCACAAAGCACTCGCTCTTCGTCCAGCTTCTTTATGCCCAACCCCTCAGCTCTCCTGTCATTCCGAGATCCTATCGTCCAGGAAGAACCACTTATACATTAAATCACTGTATCAAGGCAATGAAGTGGGATGTATTGGGCTTTTCCTAAAAGCGGATTGTTAGTCGGTGGCAAGAGAAAAGACCTAGAGAGCAGAGGATGGAAGTCCGATTTCCTATTTCACAGGTGACTGGGCTCTCTCTGGTGGTATCAAGAAGGAGAGAAATTTCTACACAGTTTAACAACAGAGAATGCCTGTTTCTGGCTCATAGGTAATGGGAATTTTCACTAATTGGATGAAAATATAACTACTGAAATGTCCTCATCTACGTATCATCACCAGTAAAGCAATCTTGGGGGGATTATATTAACCTTTTAAATTAATGTTTCTCTTTTTTTAAATAGGAATAATCATAAGAAATGAATTTTAATGTCTGGAATATCAAAGATATGCTCAGTATTCCCTCAACCTCTGGGTAAGTTTTTCAGTTATATAGTCTGATACTTAAAGATCTTTTCGTTATATTTATTTTATAGAAAAAAGGCTCCCCTTCCTGTTGGTTATAGAGTTAGCATATAGTTTCTTCCCCTTGCCTGTCACTGCTGCACCCTCCCATACTTGTCTTTTTCCTTTTGCCTATTTTATGATGATAAAAGCACTGTCGATTCAGCTATGTGTGTTAATTGAGCAATGACTCTGTCCAGCACGGGCCTAGGGACTATGATGCCCAGGGACTGTGAGAGTTAGAGTCTGCTTGGGCTACCAAAGGACAGGACCATAAATGGATGGCTTCACCAACAGGAATGTTCTCAGGTGTGGAGGTTGGAAGTCCTAGAACTTGATGCCGGCATAATTAGTTTCTGGGGGGAGGTCCCTTCCTGGCTTGCTGTGTCCTCA